GTCGCGTTGTACCACCTAAACTAACCCTTACCGTTGTCCCTACCTAACTACTCTCTACCTTTTTACGTTTATTAGTCTCGTCTCTACCCTACCTGGTACGTCTCTCTCTCTCTCTCTCTCTCTCTCTCTCTCTTTCTCTCTAACAATCTATTTCACTGTATTTGTTCCAGATAGCTTATCTCTCTCCTAACAACCTATTCCATTAAATTTGTTCCATACAATTTCTTTCAAAAATAAAAACTCTCAAGTTAATGCAAAAATAAATAAATTGAGTTAGAGAGATTCATTTAATTACATTAAGTTGTATTTGTAGACATTGAAATTCTGACTAAGGAAATTCCTAAACCCCTAATTCTGAACCCAAAAAACCACACTAACCCTTGTGAAACCTTGTACATCTAAAACCTAGTTAAATTATCCTAGAATTATTTGAAACCTATCCCAGATCGTAGCAGACCCCTAGAAGTTTCCAACACCCTCTTCCATGGCTTACTAGCAAGCATTTTAATTAAGCTACAAGAAATCATGATCCTATTAAACATAATGAAGCGTGTGGCCCAAAGCACCTCTACTACAAATAATTACAATGGAGGGTCCATCTTTTCAACCCATGTCCATTCCTCTAATCTAAAATAGTTGCCTTTACTAAAACAGAGGACTAGCAATATTGTAGGGAGGTCATGATGAACAATTGTTGCTCTCTATAGTTAGAGATGGAAAGGACAACATGTGATCTTTAGTTACCATTTGAAGGTTAGCTTATAGTTACTAGTTATTGATTAGGCCATTTGTCATGGCTCTAAGTATCGAATGAGTTATTAAATTTTGAGGTAAATTATAACCCTACCCTAATATTTTTGTGGTATTATGGTATGATCTAAACTTTCCCATATTTCACACGGAGGTCCCATAATATTTTCGAGAGGAATAAACGATAATAAGAAAAATAACCAAAAAAATTAAATAATATGAACAAACACACCTGAAGGCTGCCCCTGAAGCCCAACACCTAGAGTTGGGCCCAGATAAGATGATGAAGATTGTGTCTTTGCTCCTTGCTCTTTGAGAATGTAGGTCTATTTGATTAATTTCACTTTGGGAAAAAGATTGGCCTAGGAATTTATATCTAGGGCTTTTGATTTAACAAAAATTGATTGTTTTATTTATGGTTTCAGGGGTCTCAGTATACAGTTTATGTTTACAAAGAGGGAATCAGGGTTTAGATCTAGAGTCTAGGGTTTTGTATTTCTGATTGATACAAAGTTTGGGAAAATGTCTATTTATAGACAAAAATACCCCAAAAATAGAAGGTAGTGGTTCACATCAAATCTAGATCGTCCACATGTCAACAACATTAGGCATATCATTAGGCTCCTAGGTCCAATGGCGCACTCCACATCATTATCAGCCGTAGGCTCCAATTAACACAAAAATTTCCTGGATTGCCTGTTTTGATATATATATTTTAACTATTTTGCTTGAAATTTTTTTATTTGACAAATCGTGGAACATTTTCTCTCTTCTTTATTTTCGGGAGTTGCCTATTTGGGATTATTTCCTCCTAAATGGGTGTTTGGAAATACTCGAAAAGATTTTGGACCAGACTATGCTTTGAGTATAGACTATAGTTCAATGTATCCTATAGTGTACTAGGATATTGTGCTCCATAGGTTCAAAAATAAACGTAAGTTTAGATGGTCTTCAGATTTTATTGTAGTAAGTTTATTTTTACTAATATCATTAAAGTCATTATGTCCCACACATTAATTATGAATCATTGGGCATAGTCATATTTTATCTAAGCATCAAGTGGGACCCCAAAATGCTATCTATCAGAGCCTAACACACACTTTATTAGATACTACTTGGCAATTTGGAGAGCTCAAGATGAGATAAGGATCTCATGCAATCACACATCTATATTGAGGATCACGATATTGGAGGGAGGACAACTAACAAAAAATTTGGGGTTTTTATTGAGGCATTTATATTAGTGCATCACTCCTTATGTGCTATGTGTAATGAATAAGCTATACCTATCTTTAGTGTTTGGGACTTGGGCCAAAGACCTAGAATCAAAAATACCAAACATGTGTTCTGAACTTACTACCTTAAGCCATTCACACAAATATATAAAGCTTTGGGCATGAGAATTAGCTCTTTCAATCTTGAAGGACTTTTCAACTATATCCTTTCTCTCCATACTTATACTCTCTCATTATATCTAAGATTTTTCTCTAAATGCTTCTAAGTTGGATGATTAAGATCAGTTTTGACTCATATGGTTATTTAGCTATTAAAACATCTTTCCCTATTTAACCTGGTCATGTAAAGTGGAATGGATCTTATACCTTTTT